TGAAATTGCTACTACTACTTGAAACTGATATTGTGAAGTTTTGCGCAGAATTTTAAAAAAAAAATTAAAAAATCTGCGCAGACCTATATTTTGTTACAGATCTGCGCAAATTTTTTAATTTTTTTTTCTTTACCAATTATCACCAGATTTGAAGTTTTGCGTAGATTTTGGATCTGAAGATCTGTGCAAAATTATGCCTTCAAAAATTTTCTGATGTATAGAAAAACCAGATATATCAATACTCAAAAGTATTTGGGATCGGTATAGTGCTATGCATTTTAAGAATAATCAAGAAAATTCAGATCTTGGATTAGTTATTAGACATAAGGTGGATAAAGAACATTTTGGAGTATTAGTGATACAGGTTAGTATTATTACAATTCTGCGGAATGTTTTTACCTCAGACAAAAAGAAAACTAATACGCAATATATAGGTCAAGAACTATACAGTTAAGCAGAATCAAACAGAAGAAAACTTTGTAGCAGAATATCAGCTTGAGCCTAGAATTATCTTCTTTGAGAACTGTACTAACATTATTAAGGATAATTATCTGGTCATTTATATTCACACTGGTGAGAAAGCTTTGATCATAAATTTGATATAGTAGTAATTTTTACAGGAATTTAGTAAATGCTATCTATTTCTCTTGCAGGAGCAGCATATAAAGACATCTCTGAGCTTCATTCATTTAAATATAGCCCATCAACTATGCGATCATCTGCATCTAAAATAGCTGAGAGTTCGAGCAGTGATAATCAGCTCTTAGTCTGTGGTCTAGGTTCCTTTAAATCTGAATATCAGAATATACTTGAAAGTCTTCTTTGTGCATGGAATGATGCAACACTACTCTGCACTCCAGAAGACAGGCATTTTCTGTATTACATGTTACCTTGTGCTTATAAGAGTGCTAAGAAAAGGTAATTTCTTCCTGTGTGCTCAACTCAAACATATTATTCCACGCAGTAACAAACATGTTATAATTTGCAATGACAGGTTACAAGTCAGTGATGAGCAAGAAGAAAGTTCATTAACTGTAAAGAAGCGCAAACAGAGTAGGAAAGATAAGAAATAAGCAAAGTCATAATAGAATAGTATGTAGAAACTTTGCTACACTCCAAATAGAATTCTTATCAAAAGAAGAGGACAAATAAGATTCTTATCAAATTAAATTTGTAAAGTTAGCTACTAATTAGGGTCTAGTCGATGAACATAATACCAAATCTTTTTCAATAACTGAATTAATAATAATTATTACAAAATAATAAAATTATATATAGGAGTATCATATATGAAGGATTATAATTATAACAATTCTACCAAATACAAAAAAACAATGCGTTTCTTGGAGATAGATTGTCATTGTGATTCATCAGAAAATTTTCAAGGGCACAGTTTTGCACAGATCTTCAGATCCAAAATCTACGCAAAACTTCAAACCTGGCAACAATTGGTAAAGAAAAAAAAATTAAAAAATCTGCACAAATCTGTAACAAAATATAGATCTGCGCAGATTTTTTAATTTTTTTTTTAAAATTCTGCGCAAAACTTTGTAATATCAGTTTCAAGTAGTAGTAGTAATTTCAAGTAACTGTAACAGTAGCAATTTCAAGTAACTGTAGAATTCATAGGTTAAATAATAGTAAAGAT